GGCCTCCAACCTAAGGGCAATGGCCTCCAACCTAAGGGCAATGGCCTGCAACCTAAGGGCAATGGCCTGCACTTTAAGAGGTCGTGTTCATCGATGAAGCTTGCAGCGTGCACAAATGAGGAATGTCCTGCACGGCTCCCATGTGGTGCTGCGTCTCGGTGCAATGCCAGCTTGCCGGCTTTGTAATGACCATGAAATCGCAGTCTTCAAAAATGATGGTTGGTTCCTCAGCTAGTAGTAACAGGTGCCACGCTAGTAGTAACAGGTGCCTTACTACTAGGAACAAGAAAGCTACTAGTAGCAAAGGGCCTTACTAGTAGTAACAAAAAAGCTAGTAGTAACAAGGGCCTTACTACTAGGAACAAGTGCCACGCTACTAGTAACAAGTGCATCGCTACTAGGAGCAATGTTTCTTCTTTCATTCTTCAAAAATGATGGTTGGTTCCTCGGAGCTTGAGAAAGCTACTAGTAGCAAAGGGCCTTACTACTAGGAGCAAGGACGCTACTAGGGGCTCCTGGCCTTACTACGAACAAGAAGCTACTAGGAACCAAATGAATAGTGCATGAGCTCTCCTACGTCAGCGTCCTGTACCTACTAGCTACCGTTTGCTTTCTACTACCTACTACCTACTATCTCTACCTCGGCAAAAAATAACAATATGTAGAATACTTAATAATTATATATATAATTAGTAAAAGGTTTTTTAGCGTCCCAAAAGTGCTGTGCGCCAATGTTGAGCGTTCACTTGGAACCAGCGTGTCCGACTCGTGGTCGGAGATCGATGGACTTGACACTGAGGAGTTAAACGAAGCATGGAAAATTCGTTCATGATGCGCTTCATTTCGAAGCCTGGACCCATTTCCAATTGAACGACCACATTGCTCCTGGCCGTGGCACCAACTCTTTGCCTGTAACTGCAGCCAACATACACACTGCAGCACAAGAATTTGAACTGGTTCGAGTCAAAGAATGCATCCAATTGAGCAGAGTCAATCTTCACACTGTCCAAGCGAACCTTCATGGGGTAGAAGGTCGCTCCCCCTTTCGCAGATTTTTGAAGAGGGTGCATTGGGTGCCAGCTCAAAATGTTGAAGAGCCATGATAAACCTGTCATGGTGATTGCATTGTTAGCAAAATTCAAGCTTGCAGCCGAGCCGGTCTCAGAGGCAACGTGATAGCATACGCTCAGGAAGCCATCATCTGCAATCTGGTTCCCTTCGAAGTTCCAGTTCTCACAAGTCGCTTTGGTGAGTCGCAAAAAATCACAAATATTGGAAATGCCAACGGAGGTCAATTGGTTGTTGGAGAAGTTCAAATTCGTGATCTTCCAGCGGCCTCG